CCCCCCCCCTCCCCCCCTTTGGTCAGTCCATATTAGCATCTCCACACGTTACCTCCCTATTGACAGGATGTGGTCTCCATAACAGCCTTCTCCCTTGGACCTAGGCACACTTCCCAATGTTTATCTAGCCTAGCTGAAAAAAAAGATCTGAAACAGTCTTATTTTTTTTAGAAGTGAAAATTCCTTCTGTTAAATAAAATTTTGCAGATGGAACAGCAGCCTGGCCTTTTCATGAAGCGGAATCCTCACCATTGTCGCCTCTCTGCACCAAGGTCAGTGAACTCGCTCTGGGGCATTGGGGAGGTTACGACTTACGTGTTTGCATTTGCCTTGACATGCCACGGCTTGTCAACATTTGCAACTCCACAAGTTGTAACAGTGTTCAGTGGTTGTGGCGCTTCCCACAGGGACCCCTAATGACGTCACGACATAACGTTATGTCTCCATGCCACAACCCTGAACCACTCTCTGAATGCTGGGACATGGTCTCGGCTCCTCAGCACAAACCTGAATGAGTGGAGGCATGCTGCCATCTTATATACCCGTACACACGGGGAGTGGCTTAGCATGCAAAATCCACTCTCTAATTCCCATTGGCCATTTCCATAAAACTTAGAGATGATTGGGGCTCCCAAGTAAGACCCCTAATGTCATCATGACATAACGTCTCCATCCCTCCATCAGGGAACGAGGGTTATGTACATAACCAAGATGTTATTTCAGACACTCTCTGACTGATAAACTCCACCTTTATTCATGATCACTCCTCAAGTCCCAGTTGGCCTGTTTGGACCAAGGTATTCGGTGAGCCAAAAACCCTGGCCGTTGACCCCAAGTAAACCCTGACGAGGCTTGATCAAGCCTCGGAAGTGACAATGGAAGCTCGACTGGCCCTGACACACACTAGCATGCACGCTTTTGGCCCAACAGTGGAAACGCGGCTACTGACACCCCAAAAACCCTGTGCTTTTAAACAAGAAAAGGTGTACAGGACTAAGGGCCAGATTTACTAAAGCTTGTGTCAGTGTAAACCCTCTTTTGGCATTAAAAAACTACTGTCAGGGTTTACTAAAGACATTAGCGATGAAAAGGCGTGAACATAGTTATTTTTGTGGCTGATGTGCAATTGTAGTGGTTTCCCTTTAAGAAACACAATTTACTAAGGTTTGCAGTCGTCAATTTACTGTTATTTGCACCATTATTTACCACTAAAAAAGCATGTTTTAACCCAATTTGCACCTGTGTTGTTAGTAGATTACAATCACATGACTATCATCAGCTCAGCTTGTTCTCAATCTAATTTGTGCTGCTTTATGCCATGCGTTGGTCATTATGAAAATAAGTTGCTGTGTCTGTGTTCTTTAATTTGCTCATTTTCAGTAGAATCGCCGACAGAAATTTCCACTCCCAATGGCTCTTTTATGGGAATATAGCGCTCTCACGCTAATTTGCCCTGTTTAGTAAATTAGACCACAAATCTGGGAGACCAATTTTAAAAACTAAAAAACTGGACTTTTATCTGCTTAAAGAACCACATTATTGATGTTTTTTTTTTTGTCTCTCTATTCTATAAAGGGCAAATGTGGGATAATCTGTATAGTTCAGTTGGCAGATAATGTTGCTATAATGACTTATATGATGGGTGGGGGAGCCCTGGGGTTCTGTGGGCTCAGGAGAAGGATCTAGGAAGAAGAGCTATTGTCCAATAAAGAAGTGTTGGTTCATATAAGCTGATCTGTTTTATTACCCATTCTCATGGCCGGACTTACCATTGGGCTTGAATGGGCTCCAGCCCAGGGGCCTTGCCTTGTAGGGGGCCCCGCCTTAACCCGTTTACATTTGTTCAGTTATGTGCCAGGCAGAAATTATTAGCCGCATTTCAACTGTGCACACAGGCCAGCCGGGGCTAACAGCTTCCAACTACGACCTTCGAAGCCATAATCAAACAGCATAAACTGGAATTTATGATTTTTTTTCACATAGAAAAAGGACACATGTATTAAGTCACGTCTGCGCTGCACCGAATCGCCGATTAATTTGTGATCACATGGCTACTTTAAACGGTTCAATTAAGCCTTTAGCCCAAAAGAGCGCACATTTAGAAAGATAATGATAAATTCTCACATGTTCACACCTCACTTCTTTACAGAGGATGATTCTATATTATATTAATGTTCCACTAAATTAATCTGAAGAGTTTTGAGCGCTCTCTCCCGTCCAAAGACTATAGAATAGCCTAATATCTTACAGGGACTTTGTCCCGTCTCACTACCTCCACGCAAAGTGGAGCAGAAATGTCATGAAAACAATTAAAAAAAAATAAAAATAGCCATTTACAGGGTTCGTACGGTCATGAGAAGTCCAGAAAGCTTTGGAAAAGTCATGGAAATTTATTTTACAAATCTCTATATAATAGAATATATGTTTAATCACGTCCTGAATTTTGGTTTTACTCATTACCGCAGGTTTCGCGCGTTTGGAAAATTCCTGCAAACGTGTATTTAATATACAATGTAGGTTAGATGAGTTAAAAAAAATTCAGACAGAATATCAGATTAAGTCAGTATTTTGAAAATAGCGTGAGTGGTTCAGCTGTACCGTGTCTTCTCGCTCACACTCTCTCAAAATCGCCTCACATCAGCGCATCTCGTCTGCACTAAGAGAGCTGCTGCAGACTCCCATACAAGACTTTAGCTCAGCTGACAGCACTGTCACTTTCCGAATTGGGTCAGTGTTGCATCATCACAAAAGTTTATAATTTGCACATCTTTTTAAGTCTTTTTAAACCATTCGGTACTGGCACGCTCCAAACTAGTTTTCTGGGCGCTCACGGTCACATCCAAAGCGCCGCACACATGAAGCCGCATCGCAAACACCTCAAGAGAAAGTTATTGTTTCCATTGTTTCTGACTCAAGTAACCTTGCATTTTAATAAATAATGTTACATAAAGACAATTAAACGGTCTGTAATAAATGAACAAGTTACTAGCAATGCAATAGTACAAGGATAGGCTACAAATGAAACAAACTGTGTTTTAACTTTTTCAGGTAGGCTAGCCTAAAACTAACAGTAGCTGCTACTATTCAGGAACAAAATACTATGATGTATAAAGTCACAGATATAGATTATATTTACATATTAATCCATATTAAATATGAAGAAGTTATTTAGTCAAGAGCAGATTTGAGCAGAGTGATTTTTTTCTTTTGTTCTTTAACACAGACATACAGACAGACAGCAGGTATACTAAAAGCTGCTGTCACTTTCATACCAAATGTTAATGTTAACAATGTTAATTAATTATTGGTTATTGTTGATTATTGTTAACAACAAAAGACAAAATCACTCACTGCTCTTGACTGAAAAAAAAAGTTGAAATTGCTTAAATTATTTTTATGAATTAAAGTAACTTAAAAACATAAGTTGTCATGGCTTTTTCATCATATCATTTTTTACAGTGTGCATTTAATGAGTGAATGCCTACGATATAGGAGTTAGCCTGTCACACAAACTAGAGTCCTGTTTTTCCGAATATCTGCACGATCGCAAATGTACAATAAACAACAAGTTACTGAGTAACTTTCAGACCCAAAATTCTGTTTTGCCCCATCAATTCGTGTCCAAGCAACACAGTGTTTTGTTTCTCAGCATTACACGGACCAGTAAATGGTTCAAACAGGCTATAAGTACAGTCGTTTGCTAAGTTAAATGAATTAGCATTTTAAACAAATCGGTTGATTTAAGGATCCAACTCACTCATTAAGACAGTCACTTGCTGCCACCTACTGGCAGTTGTAGTTTCATATTTTAAAAAGCAGCTCATTTCATTTTTGCAATCATTTAATATTTCTAGATTAAAATGTTGTATTTAAACTTAACATAACCTATGCAAAATCCATCTATGGATTTTGTTTATAGTGATTTCATTTGATTGTTAATAGCCAACATGTTTTTTTATTCAGATTGAATTTATTAAATTTAAGAATCTGACATAAAATGACACAGATATGACAATAACTTTTCATAATAATACATCTCTTTGTTTTTTTCTGCTCAGTGTTATTTCAGGGTTTTGATCTCTCAACTGACTCACATCCTGTTTATTGTATTATAGTGACAATTTAATATTACATCTAAACTGACTAGGCTAGACATGTTGCCTATTAATTGTATACAGTATATGAACCTGAAAGCATATTTAAATGTTTGTGTATTTTGTGTTACTCCATAATAATGTTCTAGTTGAGGGCATTTGTAGTATAGGTATGGGGCCCAAACATAACCTGAAACCCAGGGGACCCCGGCCCCGTAAGTCCTGCCCTGCCCATACTACAAAAGAAGGTGTCACTATCACTGACACTGAAGCAGCAAATTATAGCAACATGTAAACAAAACATTAAAAATGTTACTGCTAGGCTACAGTAGGCCTATATAATCGATCAATTTCCAATGTAAACATGAAAGGAAAATTATTATTTTCATGCATTACAAAACTCATATTTAGTTACTCACTCATGTTCTCCAGATGATTTGATGACTGGTCGAACTATCAGATCTTGTTCCTCTGATCGTTGAGATTTAATCTCATCCAGCTGCTCTTCTGAGTTCAGCAACACAAACACCAGAGCTGAAAACTGATCAGGAGAGAGTCTCAGTCCAGATTTCAGCTGTGTTTTTATTTCCTGGATTAAATATCGTTCATCCAGCTCTTTCAAAGCGTCAAACAGGAGACTGCATTTGTCTGCATCTGGAGAGGAATTCACGATCAGTGTTTTGATGTGTTGAACTGTGAGTTGACTGGATGAAGAGCTGCTTTCTCTCTGTTTCAGGAGGTCTTTTAAAGCTCTCTGACTGGATTTCAGCGTCAAACCCAGTAAAAAGCAGAAGAAGAGATCCATCTGTCTTTCTAAAGTGTTTTTCATGATGTTCTCGAGTACATAGTAGTCTGTGAAGTTCTCCTTTCCAAATTCAAGTTTCAGACTGGACAGATGTCTGAGCTGGTGTGGATTATTCACATTAATGACTTCAGTCACATATAAAGCTGCCAGAAACTCCTGTGTTCTGTGATTCACGAAACAGAATGATGTACGCTTGCTTTTGTCTTCAATCTTCTTTATGATTGATGAGCGTATCAGATCACTTTCATCTCTAATGCCACATTTCTTGAAGTCTTCATAACAGAAGAGAGAGTTTCTGTTCACCAGCAGCTCAAACGCTATTCTCCCCAGAGCTATGATGGTCTCTTTTCTCTCTCGAATCAGTTTAATCTGAGCTAACAGGAGTCTGCTGTACATCTGAGTGAGAGTCTTGGGGAAATCATCTCGGCCTGTACTGAACATCTTCTCTGGAATCTCTGCGATGATTCTGCAGTAATCTGGTAAATAACACATGCTGCTGACGCGTGGAGATTTCTGGATGTGACTGATGACTTTATCACTCATTCTCTGATCACTGATGCTCTTTCTGAAATATTCCTGCTTCTGCTGGTCATCAAAGCCCTGGATCTCTGTCACACGATCAATAAATCGAGCAGGAATCTGATTGGCTGCTGCTGGTCTGCTGGTGATCCAGATCTGAGCGTTTGGAAGCAGATTTCCCTTGATCAGGTTTGTCAGTAGATCAGAGACTGAGGCTGGTTTGTTTATATCAGTAATCTTTGTGTTCTGGAGTTTAAATTCATTGAGTCCATCAAATATCAGCATGATCTTGTCAGAGTCATGAAGTGTCAGATGTTCAGTGTTTTCAAAGCATTGCTGCAGAAGCTGCATGAAGCTACACTCCTTCACCGTCTCTCTGATAATGTTCAGCTTCTGAAAAGGGATCAGAAATATATAATCGATATGAGTGTTTGATTTATCTTCAGCCCAGTCCAGGATGAACTTCTGCACAGTCACAGTTTTTCCAGTTCCTGCATCTCCCTTCAGCAAAACTGTCCTGATATTCTGGCCTTCAAACATGTTGTTGCGCATGATCGGTCTCTTATCACTGATGTGAGAATCAGGTTTCTCTGTGATGTGTGGTTCAATGAAGACATCATTCAGATACTGAAACTCGTCCTTCAGTCTCAGTTTGAACATTTCTGACACTACAAAGACACAAACACAGCACAACTACTTTCACATCACTTGCTTTTCTATTACACTTACATCATTAACATTTACTTTATGCATATGAGTGAGCAATACTATTATAAAAATAAAAACATACACAAATTAATTATTAAAGTTCAGTATTGCTATTATATTTCCAGAAAGCATTGTTAAGTCAAGTGAACTGATTGACTTGTAAACATTCATTATATAGAGGTTGCAAGTTTGAGTGCAGGATGAAATAAAATAATACTCACCTTTTATGTACATTAACAAATGTGCAGAATTAGAGCTGTGAATTAGAAACAATTCATGAAAATTGTAAAAGTACTTCACATATACATTATATATACTATAAGCCCAAACATACAGCATTTACTGTCTGAGATTCAGCAAAAACATTTTCTTTAATCATCTGTGACAGACTCATTTTTAGAGTGGAGGACACTTGTATGTATGTATTAATCTGCACAATGATTTATTCTATTTAAAATCAAAGCCTTCAAATTAACCATCTTTAAGTTAAAGGCATGTTTTGTGATTTATAAATGTAAGATTATTACCAGTACCTGATATATTGATAGTCTGTATTACGAATCTATGAGGAAAAAGGACTTGCTTAATTAGTAAATCTTGCCAAAATGGTCTGAAATATATATATTTTTTTAACCAATAGTTTTTGTGTGATCTGCTCAAGCCCCAGTGAAGGTGACCAAAACTCACCTGTGTGACTATGTGATCATTAAAATGATACCAGTTTCCACTCAGATCTTTATTGAGTGTGACGTAATGACCACCAGTGAATGAGCCGTAGTGATCAATGATGGCATACAGCTCATACTCTGGGGAAGATTCATTCTTTGATCCCTGTTTGAACTGTTGAGAAAAGAGCACATTGTGTTTATCATCTGCATTACCTTCTGTGTTAATCTTGTGGTTTATGATGCTTATGAAGCAAACATGCTTCATATTATATTTACATTTCTTCATTTATCATATGGTTTTATGCAAAATTACTTACAAATGAGGAGCATCATATGTACATTTGCATGTCTCTGTGTTCTTGTGCCACTTTGTTAAACTTATTTAATATTAATGTTAAAATCAAAGCTATTAATGTGATTTATTCATGTTTATTATATTTCTGGAAAGAAATTGAATGAATATGTTTTATATGCTGTTTTATTGTTCATTCAAATATACTTTTATTTCTATGAAATATACGGTATATATTATATCTTATATCTGGTAGTTTTGTCCAGGGGTTTTGTGTGTGATTTTAATTTCCAACCAATTTTGCGTTCATTTTAAGCCAGCAATATAGTAATTTTTAAACAATAGTTTAGTTAAATAAAACTGCCCAGTCTGCTGGGTCAAAGATGTAACTCAGCCAGATAGATCAAAACAACCCACTGCTGAGTTTGTCCATATTTGACACAGCCCTGGAATGCAAAATGACCCAAAATGGGTTGTTTTTAACCCAGCATTTTTTAGAGTGTTTAATTGTAGTTCAAGTGCTGAGAGATGTGTGTCTTCAGATGTTTCTTGAAGGTAGCGATTTCAGTGGATGACAGAAGCTTATTGAAACACAGAGAGTGAAGGCTCTGGAGAATGATTTACTAGGGACTTTAAGCAACAGCTGATTATGGTACAGCAATGGCAACTGGAAGTAAACTGTCATAGCCAGAAAACACACACACTAAACAACAATAGAGAGGATGGTGGAACAGAGTATTCAATTATTTATTAAAGTTGTTAAAAAAAAAATAATGTTTTTAAAGCAAGAAAAAGGTTGCTTTTGGCATAAATGATACGTTACTGTGACAAAACTTTATAGCATTACCTAATCTGTTAATTAATTAGCTATTCTTCAATAGTATATGGTTACAGTACAATGTCACAAAGTAGCAGTTAGTCGTGTATGTGCAATAATCATATAGTCATGCAAAATATATATATTTTTTTGCAAAATGTTGTTGCCATTTCATCATCAGACACCACTCACTTACTGACAATACTGTAGATGGCAGCCAGCATATACATATAATATATGCTGCAGGAAACTTGTGTACATATAATCATTTATTTTTTATTTTGTACCTGATTATGTAAAGGAATCTCAACTCTGCATTCATTTTTCTGGTAGTAAATCTCATTTCGGATGTACTTCATCTCAAATCTCTTCAGCTGAAGAGTCAAAATATCTGGCCACTTTTTAATGTAATTTATCTGATGGGAAAATAAAAGCAGTCATTCTAAAGCACAAATTACATAACCTTGCATTATTATGAATCTTACTGCCACATATACACATTTTTGTTCTGCTCTAATAATTTACAAACTCTTTTTTTTTTTGTAACTTCCCAAAAACACCATGTTCAAGCACCACATGACCCATCTATAATTTGCATTTATAACAAATAAAAATTATGTGTCTATTTACACTAAGTTCAAATAACCTGAGCCAGACAAAATGACAAAATAAACTGCTCTGATCAGAGGTCGAGTGGTGTGGAGAGTAAGGATAGCGGATTCAACTTTTCATGTGAAGGGGTTCTAATCCACCTTTTCATGATTTCATCCTTCTCCCATTACATACTGGTTCAGAGAGGCATTTCTTTAAAAGAAAAACGAAGGTAATGTTTAAAAAAAGGTGTCTGAAGTGCCTAATGTTTGTTTAAAGGGGTGGTTGACTGTTTTTTTTTTTCTAGGCTTGATTGTGTTTATGGGGTGCAGTCTAACGTGTTAATGCTTCGTTTAAAAAAAAAAAAACGTGTTATTTTTCACATAATGTACATTTATTCTATACTGCTCCTTCCCTTCTCTGATAAACGCTCTGATGAGTTCGTGGTTTTCTGAAGCCCCTCCCTCAGAAATAGGCGATGGGCTCTGATTGGTTAGCTAGTCCAGTGTGTTGTGATTGGCTAAACGGCCTCAGTGGCATGTGCTCCGGTTGTATTGTAAACAATGGCGTTGAAATATTAGTGAAGAGGATCGCGCAGAACCTGTGCAGGCACATGGCTCTTAATGGTACGTTTTTTGTTTGTTGTTGTCTCATACTTTTAGATACGCTGTTATTTGTAAATGCTACTGCTTATGTTAGCTTTTAATATGGTTTTATCCTGATTAAAGCTTTAATACAATACGGCAACCGCACACGCGCCCATGTTTAACACTTCTCATAGCTATGTGAAAATATGTGTGTAAATGGAACAGTTCATTGTTAGAGCTGAGCTGATGATCTGAATGACAGATTGAGAGAGAGAGAGATGCAGAGCGTGTGCAGAGCAGGGAATGCGAGGAGCAGTATTAAGAACCGCTGCTTTTGAACAATGATTTTGAAACTTGTGAATCCATTAGAATCGTTAGAAGACAGAATCGCGATTCATATATGAATAGATTTTTTCATGTATGCACCCCTAGTTTTGACGGCATGGCAACAAATCTTCCTCTATTCTAAAGCAGTGCAACATGGCTCCGCCCCCTTTGTTGCTTGTTCCCAGGGGCGGGGTTTATGTAAATTCCAGGGTTGTGACGTCACAAACCCAGGAAGTAGCTCGTTATATTTCCTACGAACCATTTTTGTAGGCATTAAACTGCTATAATTTAAAAGACGATATTTCCATTTGCATTGAACTTTCAGCGTCATAACTTTGCAGATATTGTTTATGCTCAAACAGCAACATTACACACTAACATTAAAAAAGTGAAATCGCAATAAACCACCCCTTTAATAGATTTATACCTGAAATTTGAAAATCGACTGTGACGAGTGTAGCTCATATTGTTTCCACTCTCAAAACAATCAAATCCCTTCCTAGACAATTGTTTGGTCATTTTATCAATAGATATTAGTTTATAAAAGCAAATAATACTTGCCGTTTCCATGTCTCTCATTGATCTACATTTAACACAGTACAGCTGATCATCTCCACTCATGACATGGACTCCTAAATTCTCCTCCCAAGCATATTGCTTAAATAGAATTGAAAAATGTGAAATACAGTTTCAGTGTTTATCATTTAGTTAAATAAACATTTTATAAACATCTTTCATAACACATGACAGATTCTTGACCCATCATTGTTTATCTTGTATAGGCTCTATTAGTTTTATTCTTTCCACTGGTAATAATTGAATTAAAATTCAGTTTCTCTTACCACATCACAATTTCCATTCTCATTAATAGACAGAGGTATGGATAAAAAATCTGTGTCCTCTTCATAGGCATGTTCGCAGTTAGAACATGTTGTAGATGTCTCCTTGATTCCTCTGAAAACCTAGTATTAAAGAGATGAATATTTTGACAATCTAGATTTATACAGTTCCTAAATAAAGAGTCTGAAATTACCTCTGGCTCAGGAACTTTGTTTAATATCATCTGCAGATATTCTGCTGCATCCTGCTGCTCATGAACTAATGAAAAGCAAAACAATTACTATGAAATAGAAGTATCATATTAGTGAATAGAAGATGATGACAGCCTTCAAGCAACAGCTTCAAGATCAGAGAATAGTTACACAAATATCTACAACACACTATTCTAAACAGCTCAGCCCCCTACTTGAACTGATGTGGTGTAGAGGAATATTTATTCATGTGAGAAAAGCTACATTACACTTCTCACTAGTGAAGTAGTTAAACCTATCAGTAGAGATGCTGCTGCAGTTAATCACACACTCTCTCTTTCTCTCTTTCCAATAACCACTAGCTCTAGAATCCAGACCCAGTTCTAAAAAACAGAGGGCTGAGTGAATCTCTGAAACATCAACAACAGCTTGTGTTTCTAAAGATGACTATATTCATTCACAATAAAAAAAAAAAATGAAAATGTGTGGAAATGTGGTATCAACTTCAATTAGAGGCTATGCATTCTTTTTATTGTGTAATTATGTAATTCAATAGTTAAATCGCTAATAATTTTTTCTATAAATGTAAATTACAAAAGGTGCAAAAACAAAGCTTTGGCTTGACTAACCATTCATGATGTTTAGAGCGTTTGTGACCTCTGTTGTGGAAACGTTGTGTGATCGTTCATGCTGTAATCTCCAGAATAAATCAGCCAGAGCCTGTAAGAGCTTTTCTTCTGGGGTTTGACCAGTGACTTCATTTCTCAATCTAAACACAAAGTTTGATAATCAATGGAATATATTAGTTACAGTGGACACAAGAATATGATATTCACTGAATTAAAAATCATTAACTATGTTTCCCACCTCAGCACATGATCTCTAAATCTGTCCGTCATGAAAAGCGTCTGCAGAACCACATTCAGGTAGCAGGTCATTCCTTGATTGATCAACCCACGGGGAACTAAAATGACAGGTTTATCATTTGGAATTTGTTGAGGGAAAAATCAAGAGGACCCCTGAGGTGTATTAATTAATTTATATCAGTTATAATTTATATAGGTCCTCAACAAGAAAACATGTAAACAAAAAAACATAAATAAGATAAATAAAGTATAATTAAGTACATCAAAAGTTTAATATAAACTGTACAATATAAAGTCTCATGACTTAAACACATGGATAGAAACATGTGATGCAACAAAAGTAGATCTACATAGAATGCAGTAGAATCATGGCGGCATTAATCATAATCCTGGTTTATTTATTTAATTGTTTATTTTGGAATAATGGTTTAGTCCTATAATATATAATTAGTATATAATAAATTAAATAATTATCCATCAGTCACTGCCATAAACAAAAAGATCTGACTCTTTATGGCTTTCAGTACATGACATGCTGGTATATGTATCTATCTGGTGTGGAGTCTTGATCTAGCACGGCAATCCTCAAAGAGGTGAGAAAAAAATACAAGAATAATCGCAGCTCTGCAAATGTCTGTTAATGAGAAAATGTTTACTAAAGCTGAAGAGGCTGCGACAGCCCTAGTGGAGTGAGCCACCTGGTGGTTAATAAATGCCACTGTTCCTGTGTTATAAGTCTGGACCAACATGTGCTTCCACTGGATCAAAGGCTGAAACCTCCTCAAGGCTAACAGCACTGCAAACAGTTTAGAGGCAGTTGATGTGCCAATGCATTTGAGGGCCCGTCCAGGACCCTGAAGCTGCACGCCTGTTGCACACGGCACCCCAGCCTGTCTTTGATGCATCTGTTTTAAGAACAACACATCTGGACACTTGTTCTAAGAGCACACCTGCCTGTAGCAATGAAAGATCTATAAAAGTGCTGAATGTGCAACAACACATCAGTGTGAGGGCCACACGATGTGTGCCGTGGTGCCATACCCATCTTGGGACTTGGGCATGAAGCAAGTGCTGAAGCAGTCTCATATTCATCAACCTGAGCAGCGTTACTGCAGTTCAGCACTGAACGAGCACAGTCTTCTGAAAGACGTGCTGTCATTGCGACCGAGTCCAACTCCACACTGAGAAAACAGATGATCTGCACTTGGGAGAGCTTGCTCTTCTCCCAGTCCTAATCAGGCTAGATGTTCTGTGACCATGTCCCTGTGTGCGAACAAAAACTCTTGAGAGTGGGCTAGAATTAGCCAGTCATCGAGGTAGTTAAGGATGCAAATGGTACAAGGGCAGCCTCTGCGACTCTGGTAAAGAAGCAAGGAGACAGGGACAGCCCAAAGGAGAGGCCCTTGTACTGGTATGCCTGCCCTTCAAAGGCAAACCTTAGAATCGGTCTGTAGCAAGGAAAAATCAAAACATGAAAATACGCATCCTGCAGGTCTTTTACCATGAAGCAATCCTTGGATTGGACAACCGTTAATTTATCTCTGAGTGAGCATCTTGAACAGGAGCCTGTGAAAGGCGAGACGGTTGAGGAAGCTGGGCCTCCTCGTAGCTTGTCACGTCTACCCGATCCTGAGAGCAGACAGAATGCAGCCCAACGTAAGGAGGCAGAGCATCTACGTCCAGCAAGGTTCTGTTGCCAATGTCTGATGCCTGCTTGTCATATCCCTCTACCACTTGTTATGCCTCATGTTACATATCAGTTTTTGACATGTCAGTATTATCCTAATAAATTATATATTTGCTCATGGTGTGTGTACACCTTGAGTGACACCTCAAGTTTGGCTACTGTTCATAAATCCTGTGTTTTTAGGAGTAAAACGGTAAAACCCCTTATCTTTAGGTTATGTCTTGCAATATATATGTTTTAACTTTCTTCTTGTACATATTATAGGCTATTAAGCAACTCATAACCTATTGAATTAAGGGTGTTTCTGTTTACTACAAGTAAAGCCCTATTCGCACGGGGTCAGTATTACCTGGTGACCAGCAGTCATTTGTAATAATTGCGGAGGTTGTCTGTGATCTTAATCCCGTGCGAATTGGCCATGTCTGTAATTTGGAAAGTAAAAATTGCCACGCAAATGACCTACCATATTTCGCCGAACACCAAGTTCCTATGATAATATTAGTCCCGTGCGAATCGGCATCTCTGTGATTTGGCCAGCATTTGGCGGGTCGTATATCATTGTTCGAGGTTTTTGTTTCCTGTGCACCTTTTTATCCATCTTTCGCAAAAGAATGGAGCTGCGTTGAAGTGTTTGATTGTATTTTGGGTGCTGTTATATCGCTACCCCATACAATTTGCAGAAAGAGAAAGCTGAAAAGGTTTTGAGGTTAATGTGTTAAAAATAAATCAAGCATAAAGTTTGAGATATTATTTTAACCTGGCGAGATATAAATGACAGGGCACGAAACTATATTATTTTTTTTTAATTTTTTTTTATCCATCTAACCGGACCATAGAATGGGACTCTCAAAACCTTGACATCGTATCCGGGAGATAAGTCAGTAAATTCGAGTAAAATCATAAAAGGCTTCGCTTATCTCGTGCGAATGCATCACACGAAAATCAGATGTGGGGGCTAATTTCAAAATCACACAAAGTCCCCAGATAATACTAATCCCGTGCGGATAGGACTTAAGATTCATCTGCGTATTAAGCCCGTGATACACTGCACGATTTTTGGATGTCCCAGACGAAACATTGCAATCGTGGCGATTTCTGTGATCGTGGCTCTTAATCGGTGGTCCTATGTCGTACAGTGAGAGAGGTTCAAAGACGGGCGTTTTCCCGGTCTTGCGACCAAAGATAGCCTACGATAGTTTTCTGACAGTGTCAGAAATTCAGCATGATCAACGCACAGTGTGTTTGCTGCAACGACCTGCGTCTACTCAGCAGCCAATGAAATTGCAACATGAAATTACATATTGATCCACGCGACCAGCGGCGCTAAAATTTAAATGCCATGGAGGCAAAAAAAAGTAGAAGGTATACTGGTATGTGGGATACCCATAAAGAACAAATTCTTGTTGAGTTGTGGCAGCAGAGGGCATGTTTGTACGATGTGTCCTCTAGCTGCTATCATGACCGCACCAAAAAGGACATAGCATGGAAGGAGATCGCGGAGGAACTGCAGCTGCCAAGCTCCCTGTGCAAAACTGGCATCCCAAGTTGTCCTCTTTTCCCGAGCCATGAGCGGGTCCATATTGCCCTCTTCCGCCGGCGCCTCTTCTTTGTTTCAGCGCACATGAAAAGCACAACTGCCAAAGCGCGATCCATCTTGATGTACCGGTATTTGTTTACCACTAGCGCATGCGGATGACGTTGCGCTAACGTGTGTCGCAGCCTACGATTCAATAGGTGTCATCATCGTACAGTCTACATGCTTGTCGTACCCAAGTTTAAACGATCCATGTCGCACAGTGTGATAAAGTAATGATCTTATAGGATTGCTAAAATCATGCAGTGTATCCCGGGCTTTAGACTACTCCATATAATATAAATTGCACAATCACCTCGCTCTCACGGATTCGCCAGGCTCTCCCGCTACACTCATTCACAGATCCCAGTCACCTGTCTTCTAATCACCCACACCTGTCAGGGATCTCATCACGAGTGAATCAACCAGGTACAAAATAAAAGCATGCACCGCCAACCAGTTGATGTCTGGCTTCTGACTAGGAAAGAAGACTCCTTGGTTGCGTTCCAGTCCGGTTTTTTATGCCCTTCACTCGCAAACTTCCCTCCGTCTCGTTTACTCGGATGCATGTCATTGATTACATTGCATGAGTGCCCACTTCTGGCAGAACCCTTGGAACGGGCTGAACTGGAACAACCTAAGCCCTTGATCCCTTAGAATCAGCTATGGTTGGTTTATTGTTTACATTTTTTCCCTTATGAATTTGTTTGGTGCAGCATTCTATATGTATATAGGTATGTTTGGTCTGTTATAAATGTTTAAAAAATCATTTATATATTATAGAGTTGTTTGGGGTGGGGATAAATTAAACGTGATCTGCGATGACGTCACAATCGTGTTGCATTGTGGTCTATGGAGCGGCCTGAAGTGTGCATATGAAGCAGACTCGCTCCCTCGGTCAAAATCGAGGGGTCGAGGGTCTGTCCATATAAACTTCCCTCGTCCACTTCACGAAGTGGAACGCACTTCAAAATGGCAGCGGGGATTCCCCTGAGGGGAAGTGCTTAGGGAAGTTTGCGAGTGTGTGTCTAAAAGTGTTGTGGAATGCAGCCCTTATCTGCTACTCACCTTAATATATTACCTAGCTTGTAAGCTTACCTTTATTCTCCAGCAACTTTCCGTGTTTATTTGTCTGTGGTTTCCGTTCTGTGTTCTCCAGTCAAAGTCTCCTCATTTTCCCATGCCAGTCATCCACTAATCAGCATCTCTCAAATCACGAATTAAATGTCCTTCACAATACTCACCTGTGATACTTATCTGCGTGAAGTGGTGCATGCTTCCCCAGTCTAGTCAAGTCTCCATTTGTTCACTAGCATACTGTGTTTCTCAATAAACCTGTTTGAAGTGTGCAATATCCTGATACTTGAGAACGGGAAGTGATTTAATGTCTTCATTTTCAGCTACTTCACAGAGTTTAAAATACTCCAACGGTTTAAAAATATGTCTCACCATTAGTATGATCTTGCCATTAGTAGTTTAACACGTCCAACATGTTCAAGCCAGTCCCAAA